AGCCAACATGGTGTAGGCTCCCGTAATGATAATGGTGAGCGATTGCTCCAGCTGTGTGAAGTTGCTCGCCTGTTTCTCGCGAGCACTAATTTTCGGCACAGCACCCGCAGAAGTGTGACTTGGCGGCCACCAGCCTCGGGCCAGTCATGGACGCAAATCGATCATATCGCGATCAGTTACCGCTGGAGAGGCTGTGTCCAAAACTGTCGCTCGATTTGGAGCACGAGCGTGGACTCTGACCACGCACTTGTCTGTGCCGACCTCCGGGTGCGTTTCGGTGGACGCCCGCAACGTCGATGTGAACGGATTGACACTAGCCAGCTGGCGAAGCCAGATGCTCTGAATGTGTACCAAGATGCGCTGTCATCTGGGCTGAGTAAGCGCCCACTAAACACCGTTGAAGATCACTGGTCGCACACTCGTCAAGCGTTGCTGTTAGCAGGCATGTCTTCATGTGGCAAAACAAATTGCCAAACCGGACATTGGGTCTCTACACAGTCTCTGGAACTTATGGATGCTCGCCGACGTATTCCGGCTGGAAGCGAATACAATGAATCTCGCAAAAATCTCAGGGCGAAACTACGTGCTAGCCTAAAGAAGGACCGCGAAACCTGGTGGTCTCATCGTGCATCTGAGATGGAAACAGCCGCTGCCATTGGTAATCATCGTAAGTTATACCGTCTGATCCGGGCAACAGGCAGCAGGAGACCTGGTGTTAGCGAGACCATACGCGACGAGAGTGGGCAGATGATCCGCAGCCTGTCAAATCGCTTGGAGCGTTGGGCTGAACACTTTGCCATGCAATTTAACCAACCTGAGTTATCACTTTCTTCGGGCATTGAACGCCCTTCTCCTTGGGCCGTCTCCTTGGATCCGCCCTCACGCGCTGAAGTCGAACGTGAGATCGGGCTGTTGAAATTGCATAAGGCCGCAGGAGCAGATACTATTCCTCCAGCCCTCTTCAAGTTCGGTGGACCTGCTCTAATAGGTGATCTACACGAGTTGCTAGTAAAACTTTGGGAGCAGGAGACAGTCCCGACAGACTGGAACCGCTCCGTCATTGTCCCAATTTTCAAGGGAGGCTCTCGTTTGGTATGTGGCAATCATAGAGGGATCAGTCTGATTTCGATTGCCTCTAAATTGCTTGCCTCTCTCATTCTCCACAGACTGACTGGCACTCGTGAAAGCCAAATTCGTGAAGAGCAAGCCGGATTTCGTCGAGGTCGGGGCTGCATCGACCACATCTTCACATTGCGTCAAGTGTTGGAGCACCGCCATGTTTATTGGCGACCCACCGTCGTCGTGTTTCTTGACATAAAAGGTGGTTTCGACTCAGTCGATCGATGTGCCCTATGGGACTGTCTGTTGAGGAAAGGTGTGCCTGATAAATATGTAAACATTATCAAAGCGCTGTACGCACATAGTTCGGGCAGGGTGAGGGTTTATGGCAAACTCTCGCCACCCTTCAGTATCACCAGTGGTGTGAGACAAGGATGCCCGCTGTCACCTTTCCTCTTCAACTTCGCTATTGATGAAGTCATGGAAACAGCGTTCGCTGGACACGACCTAGAAGGTGTGGAGCTACTCCCTGGTGAGCGACTTCTTGACTTGAAGTATGCAGACGATATTGCCCTAATCTGTGACGGCTCCCAAACATGCCAAACAGCACTGAACCGATTAGCACTGGCTGTCAGTCGTTTTGGGCTATGCTTTGCTCCATCAAAATGCAAAGTACTTCTCCAAGATTGGCAGGGACCCAATCCTGCGCTAACGCTTGGTGGTGATCTGCTAGAAGTCGTTCAGGAATTCAAGTACCTGGGCAGCTATATTAGCACCCGTGGGATTGAAGATGAGGTTATGAACCGTATAGCAAAAGCTCGAGGTGCTTTTGCCAATCTCCGCCACTTGTGGCGCAGACGCGACATTACTCTCGCCCTCAAGGGCAGAGTTTACAACGCAGCCGTCCGTTCAATTCTCCTATATGGCTGTGAAAACTGGCCCCTCAGGTCGACAGACGTTCGATCATCGCTGCCTTCGCAGCTTAGCTCATGTCTGGTGGGAACACCGCGTGAGCAATTAGCGTGTTCGACGCCTTGTTTATGGCACAGGAAAAGAAACTGAACCGCTCAGCACGATTATATCACGCACCAGGCTCCGATGGCTGGGCCACGTGTTGCGCATGCCAGCACACCGACTCCCACGACGTGCATTGTTTGCGCGTTGTGGGTGCGGTTGGAAGAGGAGGAGGGGAGGCCAAGTGATGACTTGGTCGCAAAAAACGAAAACCCTCGCTTCGAAGTTGGCGTCGGTTGGTGCATCCCGACTGCCTGGCTGGGGTCCTAAGGACGGTGAACACGTTTGGCTGGACACACTTGCTGATATGGCTAGGAGCCGGCCCCAATGGCGTTTGTGTTGTGAGTTCCTTTGTCCATCCCCCTCCTGTTTAGCATCCCCCTCCAATCACGATCTCAATCGTTAGGCATAATATGACTTTCTTTTACGGCAGCCAGCTGTTAGCTCTCCGGAACGATGTCCATCCGTTACTGGGGACTCAGCGGGCGTGCCACTGTTTGTTTGTTTTTTCTTTTCTTGCCTTTTGTATTGCGGCACAATAGCTGAGGTGTTTTCCACCTCCAGCTAACGTGTAAGGATGATAATGATGATGATGAATAGGCAGGATAAATCTGGACCAACCTTCGCAGTCAAGGTACGGTAGGTTAGGATTACGTCACCTCTAAGCCTTTGGTAGTACGTTGAATGCATTGCCGAACTAAGTACACCCTCTGGGTACAGATGACAGCTTCCCTGCTTTCGGAAGGCCACGCGGAACTGCCCAGCGATTTCTGAAACACAACAGCGAGCGGTCCACTTAGTTCCGCAGCCAACTCTTGCGACAGTCTATGGGTGAATTAAATCAGGCCCGGGGGCCTTAGAAGGGTTCAAACTTCGTAACAGCCTACGAACTGCAGTCTCCACTATAATGCACTCATATAGTTATGAACTCTGTGGGGTACTGCAAACAATCTCAACGCCTGTCAAAGAGATTTCCCTTACAAACGCTGCCGCATATTGCCCACTGAGTACACAGGCATTGTCATAGTCCGTATGCGCATTACTACCGTCATCACGCATCAATACTGGGATTGACATGTTCGAAGAGCAGCGCCTTTTTACGTCAGTGAAGAATCTTTTCGGATTCTCTGAAGCTTCGTCCGCCAACCCTTTTTCAAAACGGATCCAAGCATGCCTTAGGTGCGTATCCAGATACATGTACTTCAACGTCCGTGATGTCCCGAGAAAGCCGCGTTTCATGGAATGCCAGTATATCGAGATGGTGGCCCCCTTAGCTTCAGCCTATCGGCAAGCGGAAGGTCCGGCTGAACGCTAATATTTGTACCTTTCTGTTTAAACGCAAACCGCAGGAGAGCATTGCGTTCATCCGGGGTAGACAGTACCACATGAAGTATCCGCCGTCGGGGGTTTGGTACGTTAACTGGGACCTTCCCCAGTCTAATCAGCTTCCTGACAGTAATGCCTGGAAAAGCAGGCGGAAGAAGCTTGGTTACGCACATTTTAAACCATGGTAGGTCGTGCAACATGCGATCAACTGGAAGGACAGCAGTACATTCAGCCGCGTTACGGAATATAACGCTGCTATCCGTGAAAGAATCGCCACGACGGGGTGTATTAACCCCACGGGTCTTTGATTCGGCGAGTTGCTTGTGGGCGTAGTATATTTCGCAGTCCACTGAGCGGATGTTTGGACTGGTTGCCGCGTATTCGCAAACACATGAGTCGTCCGATGTTCCTACTCATGGGTGATTTCAACTTGCCCTGATTACAGTGGCCTGAAGCTTAACTTATCCCCGGCCACTGTGAAGGGCCGAGGAAGTTTACGGAGTTGATATTTAAAACTGGGGCCACACAGCACATCAACCAACCGGCACGCATTACTGCGCGCGCGACTTCATCATGTTTAGACCTGCTGTTGACAAGCTGTGAGCAACGTATACATAACATTAAAGTCTTAGAGCCTCTGGGAGCGAGTGACCACTCAGTGATCATAGGCAGTTTAGAACTACCACTAAAGTCAGCCTTCAACTATTAGAAGGCGGACTTTAATGGCCTCATTCGAGCAGCAAGCCAGATAGACTGGTCTTTACTGCAGGATTCATCTATTGAAACCTGTTGGGCTATTATTAAAGAGGGAGTGAAAGCGTTGTGCGCCGGAATTGTGCCCCTCAAATTTCGGAAAGTTGGGCCAGTCAAACCAAATTGGTTTGACAAACAGTACAACAAAATGGCCCCACGACGACGAAGACTATGGAACAAAATCGTGTTATCTGGCTCTGATGAGGACTACAATCCGTACCAGCTACAACAAAGTCGCTGCAACAAAACGAAAACAAGCAAACGCAGAATCTTCGAAGAGGAGCTTGCAACTGCCGCAAAAACTGCTCTCAAGAGGATCTTCGCATACGTGAAGCGGCGCCTAAGGCCTATAGCTAATATCCCAGTGGGCTAATGTCCCAGGTGTGCCCTTAGTGCAAATGTAATGCATGACGTTCGACGTCACAGGAGGCAAGTCGTTCAGGACGCGAACGAGTTTAGGGTGCCTGCTGAAAACTTCTAGAAAAGGCTGTGAAGCTTGAGGTAGGGCACGAATGGGAGTGATGGCAGCCACGTTGGCGCTAGTCCCGATAACATGAGCTGTGTCCTAGAGTCAATAAGCTTCTTCCTTTTAGCGTCGACGATGAGGTCGAAGCGTTTAAGAAAGTCTATGCCTATGATGGCGAACTGCACGGCAGCGATTATGAAACGTCAGCGAAAGGTTCGCCGGAGGCCTAAATTGAGCGTTAACAGCTTTTCGCCGAAAGTTGCGATTGGTGTGCCATTGGCGGCACGCAGCTTGGTCGGCGATGGCGAGACGACCTCATCTGAGCTACGGGGTATGACGCTAACTTCGGCACCAGTGTCGACTAGAAAGTCGGTGCCGGAAGTTAAACCCCTAACGCGGATGAGGTGACTTGGTGTTGGCCGGTCGCGTCCGTCGCCGTTACGGCGCGGCCGAGGTTTCCCTGCTTCTCTGCAAAGTTGCAAGGTTTTACACATTTATGAGCTGCGGTACCAAAACGCTGGTGGTACCAACAGCTAGCTTGCCTGTTGTTAGACTTAGAAGGTTTGCAAGGCGATTTTGATCGGCTATGACGACGACGGTCCATAGTAAGCTGCTGGACCTGGCGGCTAAGTGTCGCGACTTGTGTTTGCAGGGCTTCTATGGTTGACTGTAAGCCTGTGATAGAAGTGCCCTGGGACGCGACGGCATTGATCTTGCTGGCGTCCGCTTGTGGCTGTGCTCGTTCAATAACTCGATCGGCTAAGTCTGCTAGTTGATTGAGCCAAACGGAGCTCACTGTAGCGAGAATCGCTTGCGTGTTTTCTGGTAGCCGTTGTAGCCATAGTTCGCGAAGTAACATCTCATCCATGGTTGAAGAACCAAGGAGTTGCTGCATCTCCCGTAGCAGAGTTGAGGGCAGTTTGTCGCCCAGCTGCAGATCCCTGAAAAGCTGCTGCAGGCAAACTTTCTCAGAGGGCATAACACGCTTGATCGTGGCCTCTTTGAGAGCCTCATAGCGGTTTTCGGTCTGAGAAATGATGATGTCACGAACCTGCATTGATATCTCCTTGGGGAGATAGGACAGGAGTTTGCGATACTTCGCGTAGTCGGAAGTGATTCTGTGGTTATAAAACTCGGCGTCAAGAAGAGCGAACCACAAAAGAAGATCCATGTCCCAAAAAGGTGGAACAGAAAGAGATACAACGCTAAACAGAGACTCTACCTTATGGTCTACAGAATCCATGGGTAAAAAATGAATGACGCAAAAACTAGGCTACCGTATGCAAAACCGAAACCGGAAAATATGAAAAATAAATGGAACGAGCTCACCGGAGAAAAGTTCGAAATATCCGGCGTTGAGATTGTTCCGGATCCGGGGTCACCAATTTAGAGGCTTGCCTATTCCGGGAGCCCAGAGAGCGATTCCAGAAGACGGATCGAGTTGCAGGGAAACTTTTATTGGTTCAGCAAAAGATTCCCTTTTAGCTAGCTATAAATGAACGACACCGTGGACGCTCTAGCTAGGAAAACCGAACAAGCACAGCACACAGAGCAGTCGCGCGTTGGAACCGAAGCGAGCGCCAAGCAAAAAATGGCGATTAGCGAGTAAAGCATTCGAGCACAGCAAGCAGTTCAACAAACCACACCGGTTGCCTAGGTGTACAATTATAGAATTTTGGTTAGAATTTTACACAGGCAAACCGGGGAATCCCCAGACTGCTACAATAGAACTGTCTTTAGTCCGTCCGATGATGTAGCAACAGCAACGTATGTTTTTGGCTCCATTGTCGATGTCTTAATTTTGTTAGGGCCATCGACTTCACCGAAAGGCTTTATAGCGGATGTTGTCTGCTTTTTCTTCTTGATAACAGAACGAACGCTCTACATTTCGCAGCTGGGGATCAAGAGATTCGTCTCTCCTACGAAATACTGTGCGGCCTTGCCGGCGGCTGCAGCAATTGGCACAACTGAAAAGCAACTTTCCGCTAGAGGCCAGCGCTGAGTACTGCTCGGTATTCAGCTCCGTACAAAACCGATGGTACCATCGGTTGCAGACATTGCATTGCATGCCGCGAGATTCGTCAGTTACTGGTATATTGCAGCTTGGGCCGCCACAAAGTGCGATAACCTCAGAATCCGAGCCATCAGGAACAACAGCCTCGGTGCATTACGAGGCTGACATAGTGGAACACAGAGTGATGGTAATACGTATGCAATAGTTAAACGACATCAAAAAAGGCAAAAACGGGATTAAAACTGGGAAAAACTGGAAAAATTACCAGTAGGCGCAGAAGACGCCTGGACCAGAACCGCTTTAATCGATCCAACATATCTTGGATCCCAGTAAATTTGACAATAGTCAAATTTCATTTCAAGTCTTTATTCAACCACTGTTTTCCACGTTATTGCAACTAACAATCTCCATCAGTATGGCACGCCAAAACGAATAGTTACCGCGTAGCACTGTGTTGTCTCTGGCAGAAATATATCGCAGTGATCACCGGTTTGCAGATTCATTCGCATTTACATGCGTTAGCCGCCGTGTTACATTAATATTAACTTACTGTTTGCCACGCAATCCTGAACGTCAAAAATGTACTCAACCGTACAGCATGTAGCCGTTGGCGTCCCCATCCAGCAAGTGTTTGCGCCTTCCACGCTGAAAAAACATGTCAACGATTTAATCTGAAGACGTCCGATTATCTCATCCGTGTCTTCAACACTTCCATGCTTCCTAATAACCAAAGACCTGAACAGCTCACCATCATCCACAGCCAAAGCGATAGCAGAAAAACCACTATGGCCACCGAAATATTATAACAACTATCACACATATGTACCCTTACCGGTAACACTTCCGATGGCATCATAATTAACACACAATCCATTTCTCCACACACCACTCAGCTATTTCCACCTATTGCACATTCATCCTCCTTGGCAACGTCGCTAGCTAACCACGTTGCTATGTACCATTTGTACCACGGAACGTCCCGAAACAACACAACTTTTTGTTACAATAATCACACGGTCCGGGAGGCTGAGGGAAGGGCTGGTTTCTGTATTGGCGGGAAAGGGTTTCGCTTCCATTTTCCGCGGTGACATCCAAGGTAGATTGAGTGGCTGCGTAGTATATTCTTAATTTTTGTGGTATTAAGGTGTGCTTCGTGAAAACGGTTATGTAAAATTAAAGTGATGACTACAGGTATAGTTTAAGTTCACGGTATAGTCGAAAACAGGCAAATGGTAAATACAAGTGAAGTGTGAACGGCAGTTTTATAGAGCAAATAAGTCTTAGTGCAATTGTTTCATGTATGTAAAGGTTATGCTTGCATGAAGCTACTGGTAAAAGTAACTAACTTGCGTGGATAAGGGGTATACATATCTCTTGTCTGATTGTTGTATTTTTTGAATTCGCATTGAAAGAAAGCGAAATTTACAGCTATTATATATTACCAACAACCATTTTTGTATTTACTTACGCACAAAGCGTCCTACACACCTCTCTTTCAAATCCAGTTATGAAAACATGACGATTTAGCCTGGTGTACCGGAACACAAAGTCCCTCCAGGCCAATCTTTCATGTCAAAAATTAGCCACTCCCGGAGGCTGACCAAAGGAGCATCTTTCTTGGACATCCGTTTCATAGCTCTGATGAATTCTATTTGCTGGTTACCTCATTTATGCATCACAACAACGTCAATTTTGTTTGCTGTAGTAGCAAAAGTAGCAAACATCATAGCGTGAGGTATGATCGCATCGTTTATAAATGCGTGTGCTGTAAGCGCCGCAAAACAAAGAGCAAAGGAATACGGCGAGTCTAGTATGCCGTTTATAATGTTGTTGATCGTTTAATTCAGTTCTCGAGACACCGATTGCAGTGCTCATGTCAATGTTGCTCAGGATGCCCGTAAGCTGAAGGTGCTAATGTTCCAGCTCTCCCACCACCACCCATGCAACCGCTTGCTTTTCGAAAGGCACCCTCTATACCGACGAGTTACGGAGGGGAATGCAATCAATCTGCTGACTAATTTCGATACAACACCCCCACATGCGACATAAAGCAATACATCAAGAATGCTTTCGGGAAACACGTCACAAGCGACGACGTCCGCAATGTACGCCGCAGGGTGCATTCGCCCATGTCATGTAGGTGAAATGTCACGCTATTATTGCTAGTCCATTTGCCGCAGGCTGTTCAGAGCATGGAACAGGATGGTTTCGTGCAAACCATTTCCGAAAAGGGCTTACTTACGCAGATGTGCTTTGCTCGTAATCAGCAAGTTCAAGTGTTTCGGAGATTTCCACACGTTGTGTGCGTGGAGGAAACGCATGGTACAACGCGCCTTGGGTACGTATAACTTTCGTCGTTAAATTTCGCTACAGTCTCAAGTTGTACCAGTTCTTGCTAACAGACGGCATGGGTTACGGCCGACCAGTTTTTTATGGATTTGTGCGTAAGGAAACGTTCACATCCTTAGTGAAATTATTTGGTTTGTTTCGTGATGCCATGGACCATGACTTCTCCGTACGAACTTTCGTTATGGATAAAATTGCTGCACAAAAGCGCGCAGCACAAGCAGTATTCCAGTGTGACATTCTGTTGTGTTACTTTCATACCCGCGAGGCCGTTCGAGAGCACGTGACTTAAGCGAATTATTTTATTCCGTTCTGTAGACTACTAGCTTCCGCACAAGTTAGTTATTTCACCGGATGACTACAGTTGATACGGAGACCGAGTATGCTATTTTTCCGACGTTCACACTGTTCTAGGTTCCAGCAAGATCTTCTCCTACTTCAGAAAACGGGTCCTCATTTTGTACGGTATCTAACATCCCACTGGATGTTCATCAAGCGGTCGTGGGCGAACTATGCTCAAGCGGGATTGGTGCGTTTTGGGAACACTACGAACAACCGTGTCGAGAATGCCAATCTTAGAGTGAAGGAAAAACCCATGCTTCCGACCGCCTTGCTGTGGCTGTGAGTAAAAAGTGGAAGCTGTCTGAGGTTCTACTGAAAGAATTTCAGATGCAGTGTACATACTTCTGTGACAGACACCTGGTGTTCGAAGATGAAGGTCACACCTACGCACAGATGCTGATAGGCCGTCTAACAACTTACGGGGGCTCCCTGGTTATGCGTCATCTTTCAACACCGAAGTTCGATACCGTGTACGCAGACATTGGAGCGGGACTGGTATTCTATATTAAATAAATATATAAATATAGGTATATTTCTAGACAAGCGCTAGATGCTGTTCCTGCGTGGGATCAGAGCAAAGTGCACATAACATCCATGCGCATGCATGGAGAAGAAATATCGTTAACAACTGCTTTTGATCGTGTTTATTTTTCCGAACAGTAAAGCAGGGATAAATACAAACGTGTCGTAGGCCTCAACATATTTGAAGGCAGTAATTTGGGTCTCCGTAGCTTATGTACGAATTCTGCGCTTTTCACCGGCTACCGCTGCCAAACCTTGAGGTGCCTGATTCCATTAGTAAACGATCAATCACTCGAGGAAATTTGATATATTTTCTTTGGTCACATCCCCCCATTTCGAGCATCCATTAGTAGCGGGCTCATGGAAAGGAATAAGCAAGCCAAAATTAGATCGTATAAGTGGAAGGTGAAAACAAAGGAAACAACAGTAGTGGCTAACAATTTAGCCTTTCATAGAAAAGTGCGACGGAAAGGCCTGCCCACCTAGCTAGAAAATACGCTAATATTGGAAAATGGAGCCAAAATATAGCCCAAAAACAGCATACAAGAACCGCAAACCTGGCGCGAATTTCAAAGTGTGAATCTCAAAACAAGCGGAATCAACGCCGTTTTGGAGCCGAAATGTTAACTAAACCGGGACAACAATGGGCAGTCTAGGACAAACCTTAGGCGCTGGTTAAGACAAAGGTAAAATAAGTAAGCTAGGTGCAGTGGTTATGGAGATATTTGCGTTTGTAGCGGTCGGCGGCGGATAGCGCCATTTTCGAGCCTCCGCTAAATTCACCTTCTGCTTTGGAAGCAGATACAGAAAAAAGAAAGAAAGAACACAAAAAACGGCTAGGCATAATAATTTCCGAATATGGAGTAGTAACTGGGAATGCCTAAGATGCCGTGTAATCCGCTGCAGTAGCGAAGTATGATGCGGTGGGCCGAAAAGCATACTTTCTCAGTAAACGGAGTAAAAGTTGGGAAAACAGACGGAATGGTTTTAGGGAAATACTAGGTAGGCTGTAAGAATTA